AGGGGGGAGTCCCATGAAGCGTATTTGCCGCGTATCGCGTAACCGCGTAACCAATCAATAATCAGTAAAACGCGAAATCACAATAGCGGATCGCTTCTGATTGGTTACGCGATACGCGTTACGCGGAAAATCTGTGCCATGGGACGGCACCCTTACTCTTACTTCTTACTCCGTGTATTGTAGACGGGCCTTGGGAGAGAAGGGGAGTAAGGTAGAAAAGTGAGAGAGAGGCAGAATAAGAAGAGCAGTAAGAGGAGTGAGGTTAGGTGGATTCGTGGCACGAAAGGGAGGGTGAGGGGGAAGATGGGGGATAAGCGTGGTGACGCATGGCGTGCATTCGTTTATGCAGCGGTTAGCGCAGAAGTATTACTTTATCCTTGTTGTTCACCGACTGTTAAACAAAGATTAAATGATACTCACTGCGCTAACCGCTGCATAAACGAATACACGCATGGTGATGCGATAGAGGAATCGAACGGGAAGTGGGAAGAGGTATATTCATCGACATCTAGAATGGACCGCTGATGGTAATGGTGGGGGTAGAAAGACGATTAGAGAGAGTGAGAGGCAGGAATAATAAGAGCGTTCTTTCTCTGTTTACTGAAGCCTGATTGGTTGTTGTTAATCCAACAGTAGTTAGAAACAACAGTAAACAGAGAAAGAACGATCTTATTATTCCTGCCTCTCACCCTAATCGTCTTTCTACCCCCACCATTGCCATCAGCGGTCCATTCTAGATGTCGATGGGTATATTATATGGCGGAGCCAGGGGGATTTAAAGAGAGGATAGGAAAATAAGTATTGGGCATAGAGTAGAGAAAGAAAAGAGGGCAAAGTAGGGGAAGAAAAGGACGAGATAATGGGGGAAAGAATAAGGAAACTTCAAAAGGGAATTAAGAAAAGAGAAAGAAAAAATAGAAGCAAAAGTATAATAATAAGGAGATTAAAAGGGAGAAAAAATGAAATAGGGGAAGAAATAAAGGGATCGATAAGGGAAATAGGAGTAGTGGAAGAGATAGAAGAGTTTAAAGGTATAAGGAGAAGGGAAAGAAAATAAGATGGTAATAGTTGGGTTGAAAAACATGGAAGAAAAAGGAAGATAATGATAAAAAGAAGGAAGTTAAAAGAAAAAGGGATTAAAATTGAAGACGATCTAAGCTGGAATGAAAGGAGAATGAAATGGAACTTAGAAGAGATAGCAAGATAGGAAAAGGAAAAGGGAAAGAAAGTATGAGTAGGCTATGGAAAGATTCAGATAGAGGGAAAATGATGGTGGTGGGATGAGGAAAAACAGGAACTGAGGGAAAGGGGAGGAAATATGAGAAGAAGATGGGGGGAAGAGCAGGAGGGGAGAAGGACAGAGATAAGGTAAATGAGGAGGGTGAGGGAGGAGAGAGGGAGACAAAGGAGAAAATGAGTAGAGGGAGAAAAAAGAAAGAGGAAGGGATTAAAGGTTGGGAAGAAAGGAGAAATAGAAAAAAAGAAAAACAGAAGAGAGAAAAAGATGTGGAGAATTGCGTTTTAGAATGTAGCAGGGGTTAAAAATAAAGATAAGGAATTTTGGGAGGGAATTAAAAATGGGAGATAATAATAACGGAATCATGATTAGATGAAAGAGGTTAGATGGAAGAAAATAAAAGCGAGTCTTTCAAAAGAATTAAAATGGGATAGTCAGAGCGCGAAAAGAAAAAATAAGAAAGGTAAGGCATGTGGAGGAATACTAAGGGGGATAAGAAAGAGAATAGAAATTGAAGAAGAAGACGAGGATAAGATACAGGAGGGGGTAATGGAATGTAGAGTAAGGATAAATAAGGAAAGACGGAGGATTATTGGATTATATGTAAATGGAGATATGGATGAAAAATCAGAAGGGTTGAGAGACTGGATGGAGGAAAGGGAGGAGGGTATAAGAACATTAATTGGAAGAAGATTTAAAAAAGTAGGAAGGTAGGAATAAGAAGGCGGAGGTGATGGCAACTGCGAGGCGATGTGTGCAAGCGTTGGTATAAGTTGAAATTGTATGCGAAGGAAACGGAATTAAACTACTGTAATATCAGAAATTAAATTAAATTGATAAGCAATTTTTAATAATTCGATGCTCAATCAGACATATTAGAAAGATGTTAATGTGCTGAAAAATTGTAATTAAATTTATTGCGAAAAATATTACCTCGGCCGGGAGTTGAACCCGAATCTTTTGTATTACGTACAAGCGTCCTAAGCCTTTAGACTACCGAGGCAAATTATTATAATTGTATTAAACAAAAACTCAAAGAATGTGTTTTTATTTTATATTTAAGAATATTTGGAAACTTATGAACAATATAATAGCGTATATATAATATGTATAAGCAGAAACGGCAACGAAAATAAGCATATTTATCGCCTGATGAAGATCGTTGCCTACAGATATCCGGGCTGCACGCTGTGGTGGTGTGCCTGTTGTTGGGTGCGGTGGTGCTCGTGGTCGGTCTCGTCCAACTCGTCCCGGGTGCAACGACCACCAACCACAGATTGGCGTTACTGGTAGCAGGCGCTGCCCTACTTATACTTGGTAAGTCTTTTTTTAGATATGAAAAACCCTTCTTTTGCATCACGTTAGCTTTTATCTTGATGTTGTACATCATAAGACACGCTCTTGCAGAACAAGCGAAAAATCTTTAATTACAATATAAGCGCGTTCCATATCGTGGGTTGATGAAGAAATTAAATACTGCGTTCTCCTCAATGATTTTGTAGAGTTATGAAAATATTTCCAGCTCTTGTTTCATGCATCAATTTACCAACAATAGTCGAGAAATGAAGCAATTGTTTTTACGAATTTACTATATGTGCGTATGATTGCAATAATAAATTAATTTACATTAAATCGATTTAGATTAAGCAGAATACGTTTATTTAGAGAAAGAACGGGAAATATATGGAGTTTTTCAGTAAATTCGGATTTTCCGGCCAATCCTGAATTAATTTTCTCTTTAAAACTATTCGCTAGATGACTGTTAAAACTGGTTCTATAAGAGATGGTCGCAATCCATGAGCTGTAAGAAATTAAGTAATCGTGATCTATTTTTTTTATATTCAACTATGATTGATTAATTTCTTTCTTACGACTTGCGACTCTATTGTAGAATAGGCATAATAGCCGATTGCAGAGCGTCAAATAAAGGATTATAAGTGCGCTCAATCGATCGGCGCGGCGCGTTGGTGACACGCGCGTGCTCGTCACCATTTGAATGATCATCTGCAATTGATGAGACTTCAATGTAAAAATACGCCTATAATTATTATTTTTATTATTTCAGGCTTTATCTTGGCAGGTGTGAGATGTTACGTATTACACTGCGTGCCACTTCCGGTCGAGTCACCGATCGCGACGCCGATTCCGCCAACAGGCGAACAGGTGCCCGTTGTACCTAAGGGCACCTTGGACCTCCTAGTAGGCCATCAAAACCAGCCGGAGACGGACGCTCTGATGCAGCATCGGGAACATCACCACCACCATCAGCACCACAGCTATCATCATCATAACAATCACAAGAAGAAACGCAGTTCTCAGGGTTCACATTCCGAAGAGGCCTAAAATACAAACGAACGGGCGAAGCAGAAAAGGCAGAATGGAATGGAGAGGAGAAAAATGATCGAGTTACGGGATCTTGTTCGACGATTTGTGCGAAACGGGATATTGTTCGAATCCAGCGAAGAGAATCAATATCGAGCGAAAAGCAAAGGGGAATGAGGGAGAAAAAAAGCCGAGGCTAGGTGAATTTCTTCGGAAGGGAGAACAATGCCATTCTTTCGTAACATCTTGAAATATATGCGAAATTTCCTAAAACGTGGCGCATCCTCCGCGATCAATGATGAAAGATGAAACTATACCGAAACCCAACCGAAGGAAGATAATCGACCTGACGTTGAGATAGGAGATAGTATTGAAGTGAGCAGTAAATTATTAATAGCACGGACGAACAATCTTGTTGTTGTTTGGCTCTCGAAAAGGAAGCGCCGACGTCTGGGATATTCTGTGTATATTCTGTACATATGCTAATGTGTATATAGATATGAGAGTACAGAGTGATTTTTTAAAAAAAGAGAGACTCGTGGAATATGTTTCTTCTTGTAAGGAAAACAGAAATAATTTATTTATAAGAGATTTTATTTATCAGAGGTATAGAACAAAAGATTTATACTACTGAAACGAGATTTTGTCTTTTGACATTTTTTTGTAACAATAAAGGAAACTACTAATCAGGTTTTGACGAAATATCGGCGAAATCTTAGTTACGTACATCAGTATCTATATACATATAATATACAACAATATAAACTAATTTACGTTGCAAATGTATATGCCAAGGCAAGTGCACTTTTCTACCTGATGTACCGAGGATTCGATATATCTAATGACATTCTTTTATCACAAGACTTCTAATAGAGAGATTTTGTAGAAAAGACGTTTAATCTACCGATTAGTACAGAGTAGTCTGTTATTGGTCATGTAACTGGGAAGGAATGACGATTTTTACACAGTTAAAAGCAAAAGAAAAGCTGGAACAAAATTTTGAGAGGTTCTTGATAATTTCGACAATACTGATGTTTTTTATTATTATTTCTAAGTCTGGACAATATTCAATATAAATTATTTAATGCTATCATAGTATAAATAAAATACTTTAACAGTCTGTTTAAACAAATTAATAAAAATAATAAAAAATAGAGAGAAGAATTTCATTTTGTTAAGTAGAATATATTTATATATTTACGCTTACGTAGTCGCTACGTTTAATTGGAAATTAACTTATGAATAGTCCTGGTGGAAAAAAAATGTTCATAAAAGCTCATAACATTTTTAAGGAATTTTATATTTTTAATTTATGAACATTTATGAAAAAATATTTCAAATTTCTTTAAATTTTATAAGTTTTCTTCACAATTAAGTTATAGAATGAAACATATATTTTCAAGGTTTTAGAATAATCTGAAATTTGTATAGAAATTATAAAAAAATTTTATAAAAAGTACTAAGAAAAATTTTCTGAGACATTAATAAATTAACTCGAAGACGCTGATTGATTTTCTAATCTTTCAGTTATATTTTCTCCAGAATACGGAAATTTCATATACGATTTTATTTTCTGTTATTTATCTGTCTATTTTATGTAGAACTACCTCCTTCCAGGTCGTATCGCTGATGACGTACCACTCTATACAAATTATGTTTGGAGCCACGATAGCGTCTCGGCGCTAAGATAAGCGCAGCATCATGGCGCGAGACACTGCCGTACTCCTTTTTTATTTTACTCGGAATACACATACGGGAAATCAATGTATGGGAGAAAGAATGTATCTATGCGAATGGTCTTGTACTCGCGTCGCTTTATCTTCGATATTCCGACGGATAATCTCATAGAGATAACACATTTATATAAAATTTGGTTTAGAGGGAGGCTAATCATGAGAACGAGACGACTGATGTAGGAAATGATGTAGAGGATCGTGATTATATAGAAAAAGAAACACATCGATGTCGTTACTTTAATAACTTAGCGATAACGTTTTTCCAGCACCCTTCGCGCACCAATTAGCAACCTTGATGTTATTTCTTCCAGAAAAGTTTTATAGCGTATTCGATTTACTAATTCGATCCGATTCCGAATCAACTGTCTGTTCTTTTTAACTGCATTTCTTGCATAATTTAGCTCTTCTTTTACAGCTAAACAGAACAGACCATTGATTAGGAGTTGAGTCGAGTCAATTAATCGAATACGTTATTAGCGAATCGGGAACGGATGGTCGAACTGTTATCTAACAATCTTCGAATGCGTCACGAAGAATGCGCGACACAGGAAAACGCGTCTTTTACATAAATACAAAGTATATGTATATTATCTTTTTACACTCGATATATATTTATAACTAAACGAAACATGAACAAAAGTCTGTGTCTGCGCGCGGAGACAGCTTGATTTCATCGTCGAATTGATCAGATTGTTTGTGTTCGTTCAGCATTCGGTACATTCGGACGAATAAATCCATGCTGATATCGAGCTCGCTCTTTCTTAACAAAAATTAAAGATCAAAGTATAATAAGTTGAATGTAAAGGAGTGAGTGACAGAAGTGTAAAACAAAACTTTTAGGAAGCGTAAATTGGAACAGTAAACATAAAAAAGGCGTTTACCTCTTAACATTTTGTCTGCTATGTCATCTATAGGGGAAAGTGGACGTGAAAGAGATGTTTTTTTTTTTTTCAAAATATGAAAAGAATATTTAATTTGGTGTTAAACAAATATATAATCGCTTTCTTGCTTAAATGTACTCATTTATCTATAACATCCAATTTAACAGAAAAATAATATTTAGTCATTAACAGAGATTTAATCACCATTTTTCATAAATAAGAAATTCAGCTCTTTCAAAATAATGTGGTTTCGAAAAAGCTAAGTACTAAATTATATAAGCTTTAATACAAATAAAATCAAAATATCATCTTTTAACCAATATTATTTTTTTTAGAAAATTAATAAATGTACAAAAAATAGTAATTTTACAAAAATAATATTTCAAATTAAAAATATTTATTGCAAAAGAAATGAAAATTCTTTTATTGCCACATGAAGCATGAGCCCAGTCAGAGTACAATTTGTACTGATACCAATCTTCATTACAGAATAATCTATTAAACATGATAGACGATTGAAAAGAGTGAAATATGGAAGTTGAGTCGGTAAAATACTTCAGTATAACTTAATATAGCAGCAACATAATCAGAATGCTGTTTTATAAAACAGAAATACATCAAAATCTATTTACCTACAATAAATATGCACATGGATGCTCCTCGAAGGAGACTACATTTGAAGATAATTTTGTGCAGAAGTGTGCTGACAGGATCATAGATTGACACCACGCAACGATATATCGACACCAAGCGAATGAAAATGAACTGATCATCATACGATATATTTCCAAAAAGTACTAACGTATTAAAATTGCCGGAATACTAAAAAAATAGAAAGTCAATTTTTGTACTGAAAAGAACATTTCTGGGTATGCAATGAAGGAGCCAGGCAAAGCAATAATATAACTGGCCTTTTCATAGCTCTCAATACCGGCTCTTTCATAACATTATGTGTAAAAAATCTAATCACAGAATATCTGATAAACCAAAATAAACAAAGAATTTACAATTACATTCTTAATTACATTAATGTATATATTATATAGTATTTGATAAAAAAATACTTTCTCTAAAAGCTAATCGCAAATAACTGAAAAAGATTTGGAAATTTAACTCAAGAAAAATCTTTCATCTTTCATTACAGCAACGTCGTTTTGATGATGACTGTCAAATGTTTATGGACGACGTAGTTTTAGTACTGTTATCATATGAAAATATTTTTAAATTTTTGGCGATATTCAATTAGTTGAAATACAAAATGACTCTTTCAAAACATGTTTCTTTCATGCCCACTCTTCTCTATTTATGTGACGTATAAAATTTGTAAAATTCCTATCACTCTTTTGTAGGTGAGGTGTTATTTACTCCATTAAAAACAATTTTACTAAATATTTAAGACATTAAAGAAATAATGTAAAAAAAGGACTATGCCCAGTTTGGGCCCCGACTGAACATATGACTGTCATCACGTGCACACAATATTCAACCGTACGACAGCTATTTTTGCAAGAGCGGTAATATTCTAGAATGTACCAAATACATTTCAGACATTACTTTAATGTCTTTGATACAATCCGTTATCGCCGTCACCGCGAGGAGATGCCCTGGACGCAGAGAAATCGGATAAGACTAGTGATACATGGTCATAATAACGAACTTTGCATAGTTCTAGCACTCAGGAAATCTCTCCTATAAGGTTGGGCTTATGGAATTTTTTATTCTCTTTCGATGTCTTAAAATTTTAGACATGTCTTGAAGTTGTTCATTCAGGGATTTGCCCAAATTTTTCTATAAAACTGGACATAATCCTTATATTAAGGCATTAAAAAAAATAAAACATTAGTATAATTGTATACCATGTTTATTAAATTCAATTTGATAATCCAAAATCAGCTTGATAATCAAAGTGTTAAGATATTTCTTTTATATATTTCACTGTTCTAATTTACCCTTTCTAAGAATTATGATTCTGCCTCCTCCCTCTTCCCCGCCTTTCCTCTTCGTACACTAATTTATGCCATCAATTTTTATTTTCAACAAGGTTCTTCCTGAAACATACACGGAAAGAACGATTTTGCTGAAATGTCTAAAAATATTTAAGACATTAAAGAAATAATGTAAAAAAAGAACTATGCCCAGTTTGGGCCTGGCTGAACATGTGACTGTCATCACGTGCACACAATACTCAACCGTAGCTAGATACTGACCTAAAAGAAATTTTATTGGGCTATCAAAATAATTATACATAGAACACTTAGAAAATCAAAACTTTTTGTAGCATTGTTCATTATGCTTGAGCGTCCTACATAATTAGTTTGATTCAAACAAATTAAGATATCGCAAAGTAAAATTAATAATCAATATCACTTTTTACACTCTTAACTTACAATAAACAATTAAATACAGAAACAACCCGGGTTACAAAATTAAAACGAGCTATATTAGGTGTATAATATGTGGTAATATTTATTTTATTTAAATATATAAGTTTTACAGAACGTTTCGACTTCACTTAACCCTCATTAGCCGTAAATATAAATTATAACCATACAATGAAATAAGATTAACATATAATAAAAGTTAATAAAAGTTAACGCTCGAATATGTCATATCATGAGGATCATCTCATCTTCAGGGCCTTCCTCTCGTACATATGTCTGTGGTGCGCACGCGGATTATACACAGATATATAGGATTATGAAGAATAGAAACCAGGAGACCAAACTTATATGCCGTCAGATTATGTGCCCAAAGTGGTCATTTGAATTAGTTCGATCGAGATGTCGCTTTCGTTCCACGACACCGTTCTCGCAGTTTGCATGGTAGGTCGTATCAGTTTTACATGAAGAAGGCTCACTCTATTCTTCATGCAGTTTAAATGACAATTTACGTCTTCCTGTTACTATTAAAGCGTGATATCAAAGAATAACGTCTTTATTCTTTGATTATTGTGTGTGATTGTGTGTGCATAAGCGTATATGAAAGGAATTTTGCGATTCAAACACTGCCTACCGAGCTCCACCAATACTAATTTAGAAACCTGATTTTGGTCACATTTTCTGAAAGCATAGTTCAGTCTCCTGGTCTTTATTCTTCATGTATGGGATTTATAATTTAATGCTGGTTCCGAACAGCAGTTTAAGGTTTTCTTAGCAATAGATACTCTTGGTGCTTTAACAGACCATCGAAGAGGAGCTACGAGCGCGTGAAAATTTCTTGAATCTGCTGGGGATTAAACCCGGATTTGCAGGGGATCGTCCCCTCCCAAGCAGAACAACAAGTCATTACAAAATTATGTCATTCCAAAATGATCATTAAAAGTCATTTTTCAATCATTTCCGATTAATTTTAATGTCATTTTGACGTTATTGTGACTTATTGTTTTGCTTAGACTAGCAGAACTGATAAACTCGTTCGCTGTCCATGATGCTACGCTC